TTATAAACTGACTATAACTCAATAAAAAAATAAATCCAAAGATAAAATTAAAGAATTTTGAGAAAGCAACTATGGAGCATTCTACCAAGCAAGGGGGTCCTTCTGAAAGCAGGGCTCTGCACAACTGCACAACCTACAACCTGTTCCCGCACAACCTACAACCTGTTCCCAGCCCTCTTCAAGGACACACACCATACACCCTGAAGGCCCCAGGGCTACACCCAGCCTTGGCTCACCTGGAATGGTCCTCTTCCTTCCTAGTATCTTCCAACCCACTGGAATCTCCAGTCCCTGGGGCCTATAGGAACATGGGGCCATTGTACAGTGGTAGAAGGGACACTAGCATAGGAATCAGGGGACTTGGTTCCAAGTGAGGTGAGATAAAGGATGATGTAGTTCAGATCACTGGTTTCCTTCTCCTTTCCTCACTCCCACGGAGGTACAGCCCAATAAGCTGACCCTACAAGCATTAGATGGGTGGACACAGCTGGGCAGCCATGAGAAAGGTTTGGGGGTTCTCAAGTGACTGTCCACCCTATGTAGACCAACAGTGTGAGATGCTGGCCCCCAAAGTCACGGTGCAATCTCAGCCACATTAATAAAGGTACAGGGGACAAAGTAAGGGCAATGATGCTCAGCTCTGGGCCCCTACTCTTTTGTGCAGGGAGTGATTTTCTTCCTTTTTAATAAGGCATTGGTTCTATACTGTCAAGTGGGCAAGTCTTAAGAGCACAGCTCACTGAATCTGTTCATATGCATACACTTACATAAGCACCACTCACATGAAGATACAGGACATTTCCAGCCCACCAGAAGGCTTTCTCATCCCTGTCTCAGCCCATCTCCCTCAAAGGTAACTCCTATTCTGACTTTTAAAACCACAGATTAGCTCTTACTGCTTTAGAACATCATATAAATGGAAACATACAGTGGGTATGTTCTTGTGTATGGCTCCTTTCACTCAACATTTTGTCTGCGAGATTCATCTGTGTTGTGTGTTAGAGTGGCAGTTCATTCTTCTCCATTGATGTGTAGGATTCCATCACATGAATTACACCATAATTTATTTGTTTACTCTACTGTTAATGGACATTTAAGTTATTTCCAGTATTTGGTAATTATAAATAGTGCTATGACTGTCTTGGTAGGACTAATCACTTACTTCTGTTGGGTATGTACCTGGAGTAGAATTTCTGGATCAAAGAGGAGGCATACACATGAGCCTCATATGAGCAGGGATGCTGGAGTCCCAGATGAGGTCTCCAGAGACGTTATTGGGAGTTGACACTTAGTTTCCACGGGTATTGTCAAACAGTTTTCCAAAGTAACTGTACAATTTTACATCCCCACCAGCAATGTATGAGAGCTCCAGTTGTTCCACACCCTTGTCACCTCTTGGTATTGTCCATACTTTTCCTTTTAGCCATTATGGTGGGTTGGCAGTGGTATCTCGTTGTGCATTTCTCTGATGACTAAGGATGCTGAACACATTTTATATGCATACTGGCCACGTGGGTGACCTCTCCTGTGAACTAGGCCTTCTCTCTTCAGTGGTGCTGACTGAGCCCAGAAAAGAGGGGCCGGGTGTCCTATGAAAAACAATTGAAGGACCAGGGGGAACACAAGCACACTCTGCAAACCTCTAATGGGCTGAGCTGGGGTAGAAGGAACAAAAGTGGTCTGTGGCTCCCTAGCACTCAGAAGACGTTGATTTACAGAGGTTACCAGGACATGGATTTCCAATCAGCACAAGGAACTGTCTAAAAATAAAAAATGCCCCAGGAGGCACCGGGCTGATTGAGGAGGTGGTGAGAACCTGTTATGACAGTCACATGAGCAGGGATGCTGGAGTCCCAGATGAGGTCTCCAGAGAGGTTATTGGGAGTTGACAAGATGAGATTTAAGGCCCTTCAAGACCTGATTATGAAAGGCATGTTTGGAGCCACTGAGTGGAGAGGACAGGGACTTAGAGATCAGTTCTCTTTAAAATTTTTGTTTTCTAGCCTGTTTGCACTATTCTCCCTGGTTGATCTCATTCCCTTAGTCACTCGGGAAAGTACCTTCTGAAAACACAGGGAGACAAAATACAGCGTTTGACTCCATCACTCTCTGTGGTGGCTACGAGCCCCATCCCAGTTCTCACGGAGCCTCAGAGGTCTACATGTCAGTCACAGTGGTCAGATGGTTTAAATTAGGAAAGCACGTGTGCCTGTACCAGTATATGTTTTCATTTTGCATCTCTTGAGGTCATCACAGAGCCTGAGTCACTGCACGAATCACTGTAAGCAACAGGGTTCTAGGAAAAGACTCTGAATCCATGGCCCTGTCCCAGCTGGCCTGCCCACCTACCCATCTGCCCTGCAAATCCTACTATAGCGTACGCCACTCTGCAGCTCCTCCTCCCCACCTCTCTGCAACTGCCCTGGCTTGGGCCACCATGACATGCTCTCACTAGCCTCTGTCTCTTCCATGGCTTCTTTCTCCACATCAGCTGAAAAGTGTTCTAGCAGCTAAGTAGTTAATACAAACAGGAGGGGCTGTCAGAGTTCTGCTGTCAGAGGCATCATCTTATTGCATCCACAACCCCCTCCCCGAGACTGAAAGCTACTTGAAGGCAAGCATCCCTGTCTCCTACAGCCCATTGTAAAGCCCCACCTCTCTCAGGTGCTTCAGGCAGGTTTGTTGAGTAAGTGAATGAATGAATGCCTGGCATTGCTACTGGCTTTGACAGCCGTAAGACAAAAGCCTTGGCGGAATAAAAGTTGGCTTACAGGAAAGCTTGTGAGCTCACTCCTGTTCTCACTCTCCATTTCACAAACACAAACTTTGACATCTCACCTCCGAGCAGGTGTTAACACAGGTACAGCTTTATGACCCGAGTTTCTGTATTTTCTGAAAAAGCAGTATGAAAATTAGCATGAACAAAGGGATCCTACCAAAAAAAAAAAAAAAGACCAGCCCAACAAAAATGTGGGAAGAGGAAAGGAACAGGCAATTCACATAAAAAAGATACGAATGGCTAGTAAGCCTATGAACAGAGAACCGAACTCACCCAAATTACAGAAACGTAAATCGAGAGAGGAGACATCAGTTCTCATCTCTCAGATTAACAAAGATGAAAACGTCTGAGAATCTCCGATATTCACAAGATGTGCAGGAGACCAACACACAGAAGAGAAGTACACATTGGTACACCATCTCTCAAGGCAAGCTGAGCAGTATCTCTCCAAATGCACATAACCTTTGACTCAGCAATTCACTTCTAGGAATTTATCCTGCCAGTTTACTCACTGAATTGTATAAAGATCTATGTACAAATCGTCTGGTTATTACCTATATTAGCAAAAGACTGGAAACCACGTAAGAGTTCATCAACAGGGCACTGGGCAAATGAATGATAATGTAGACCCTAGAACACCACGAACGCCATCCTTGAGGCTACTGTTGCCCATTATGTCTCTGTACCGCCACACAGCAAGCACTAGTCTGCACAGACCACATACCAAGCACAGTGCTAAATGCTCTGCGTGAACTATCTCACGCAGTCCTAGTAACTCTGTGAAGTAGGTATTTTTTAATTCCCATTTAAGATGAAGAAACTGAAATGCAATAATCTGACTGGACCAGTTTCCTAGGGCCACCATAACAAAGTACCACAAACTGGATAGCTGAAAACAGCAGAAATCTATTCCATTACAGTTCAGGCGGCCGGAAATCGGAAATCAAGATGTCGGCAGGGTTGGCTCCCTTTGGAGCCGCTGACAGACTCCACTCCATGCTTTTCTCCTCGCTTCTGGGGGCTGCTGGCCATCCTTGGCTCTCCCTGCCTGTGCCTGCATCACTCCAACCTCTGACTCCGTCATCTCCCCTGTGTGTGTCCTCTCCTCTTCTCATAAGGACACCAGTCATTGGATTTAAGGCCCACCCTAACCCAGTAGGATCTCATCTTAACTAATTACATCTGCAAAGACCCTGTTTCCAAAGAAGGTCACATTCTGAGGTTCCGAGGGGACACAGTCATATAATCCGCTACAGTGACGAAGGTAACAAAGCCAGCAAGCAGTAGAGCTGGCAGGCAATCCGTGCTCATTGCTACCGCTCAGGCCACCTTCCCCCAGCAGCTGTCACTTCTGTAACGCTGACAGAGTCCCAGGCCCTGTCTCAAGCATGTTAAATACAATAACTCATTTAGTCCCCACAATGACTCCACTTTATAGATCATAGCTGGGGAAGTCGAGGCACAGGGAGTTAAAAGTTACCTGAGATTATACAGCCACTAACGGACAGACCTCAGATTTGAACCCAGGGAGGCATGTTCTTAACCACTACGCAAAATTGCCTGCCGGCACCCTGAGAATTAGAGTTAAGAAAACATTTCTCTCTCCTGCAAGACCGGTCTTTTTCTAAATCAGACATGACCTGGCCTCCAATTCATCTTTCCTCCCTTTCCCTTTTGGCTCTCATGATTCATCTCAGAGCTGATGTGAGTGTCCAAAAACAGTTGCTGTCTTCAGCTAGGACCCTGGCACATTTCCCCTCCTTATTCTGCGTCGGGTATTCTTAACCTAGGCTTTGGAAAGGCTTTCAGAGCGACGCATGTGCCCACGGAAATGACATGCAAACTGTTGTATGCGTGGACATTTTCATTTTTCTGGAGCAAGGGTCCATGGCTCCCATCCCATCGTATTCTCAAAGACTTTCCTGATCCTAGTTTTCAAATTTTCTGCTTCTTTTTTTTTTTTGACATTTTACTAGTTATGTTGTCTGTGCCAGTTTATTTTAAGCAATCTCATACCCTTTCAATGGTGTAAATGGAATGCAGTTTAACAACCATACACAAATGCATATAATGTTGCCATCCAGTCTGACTTTTTAAATCTTCCCGGGTTTGCACGGAGAAGTCCGCCTTCCCAGCTCTCCGATCCCTTGTTTTCTGAGTGGTTTTGAGCCCATCCCAGCTCTGGCCAGGTGTTCATCCTGTGCTCATAGACACCAAACATGTAAGCAGGGTGCACTGAAAAAGGCAATTGGTTACAGAAGCCTAGAGCTCTGGTGCTCAGTGGAGGTTCTAGGCTGGCCAGGTACAAGGCAGTGTGACTTTAAAGCCTTAGCTGGGCCTAAATTTCTCCAGAACACAAAGGAGAAGGCAGGAAGGCAAAGAAATAACCCACAGCTGTGGACCTGACCTTTCCAGCAGCCTGCCTTCCCTGGGGCCTTTTTCAGTGAGCTCTAGCCACGTGCCCCACCACGTGGCCCTCCCCCAATCACAGGCCCCATCATTAGTTCTCGGACCCTGAACATTCTATTACCCGGGCCTTCCCATGTGCCCCACTGCACACCACACACCCCTACCCGTGCTCCACTTTGTTCTAGCCCCGCCAGGTGCTTCTGCATGTCCCCACCATGCTCCATAAAGACAAAAACTAAACAAAAACAACCAGAAAGAGCCCTGGAGTTTTGATTTTGAGTCAAGGCTTAAATGAATTCATTTGTAGGTTTAAATAAAAACACTATCTGAAAGCCATGGCCAAGGGAAAAGTTGGCGATAACTAGCACTCACCTTGGCGCTCACAGTGCAGTGGTCTGTGTTTGCAGGATGAGACTCACAGTATTAGATGTTCATTAGCGCTTATTAGGAATGATTAAGCTTATTATTTAATAAACTTATTAGAAACAAGCTGCTTATTAGAAATTCAGAATCTCAGGCTCCCTCCTGAGCCTACTGAGCCGAAATCTGCATTAACAAGATGCCGAGTGATTCCAGTGTTAGAGAAGCACTAGTCTGGAACACAAAGGCTCATTTCTTAAGTTTCCCAAACCCTGGAGAGCCCCTGGTTTTTTCTGGGGAATACACACCCCACTTGGATGACCTGGGATAATTCCTATTCGGATTCACTGTGCTTTTCACAAAAACGGGTAATAAGACCTGCCCTTCCTTCTTACGGGGTTACTGTGAGTGTCAGGTGAGAGCATGGGTTCATTCCATTTATTGTGAGGGGGCTGACAGGGGCTGCAGGCTTGGCAGGGAGCAGAACGGGTATGGTTTCTGCCCTCACGGAGCTGATGGCCTGGTGGGGTGGGAAGCCACATAGATGATGTTGTGTGATTTTCGTCATTATCACAGGGTTTTCCGTTACTTATTCTTTTACATAATCATTCATTCAATGATCAGTTATTTACTAAAACATAAGGTACTTGCACTATGCCAAGCGCTAAGCTCTGAGCTCGACACTAGGGAAGGAGAAATAAGTGAACCATAAACTCAGCTCTCGAGGGTATCAGTCTAGTGAGAGATAAGGATGATGATTACATTTAGAAGACACTATGGCTGGTTGTCTGAGGTGTACTCAGAGGGCTATGGGAGCACAGGTGAGGCAATGACTGGCTTTGCTTTAAAGAAGGATTACAAGTTCGCTGTGTTGAGAAGGGAGAGAACAGCATTCCAGGCAGAAGGAATAGCAGGACAGCGAGGCGAGGGCACGTGTGCTTGCACCACGGCCAGAGGGTAAGGAGGAATGGAGGGGAGTGCCAAGAGATGGTTTCGGAGAAGTACCTTGGGGCCAGATCTTAAATGGTCCTGGAGTTCGATGACAAAGAATCTGGTAGGAAATGGGGAGTCCCTGAAGAGCGAGGAATAACATTGTCAGAGCTACACTTCACCGAGATCTTTCAACAGCAGCATGAGAAGGAAAGGCTTGGGGCAGAAAGACTCATCAGAGGCTCTGACAATAACTCGGGGGTAGTGATTGTGGGGATAGAAATGAACAGAAGAGATATTAAGGAAACTAGAATGGATAGGACTTCAGATCAAATGAATGTGATGGTGAAAGGTAGGGAGGTTTCTGGCTCAGAGCCTGGGTGGATCATGTTACTGTTAACCAAGACAGGGGGACACTGGAGGAAGACTGCATGAGCCTGAGTCGGGCCTGTCGGGTGCAAAGTGCCTTTGGGACACCTTGTTGGCTTTGTCCTATAGGCTGGAGTCACAGATGCCTAGAACTGAGAAGAATGGTCCAGGCCCCATGAATTTGGGAGTTGCCAATGTACAGGGGGTAGTTGGAGCCATGGGAGTGAATGGGACTGTAGGAGGCTGTGGATGGAAAGGAATAGGGTTGAGAGAGGCACTAACATGTAAGGGATGAGAAGAAGAGATGAGTCTGTGAAGAAGGCTGAGTGAGGCCAAGAGGCACTTCTGCCTCATCACCCACCAGATTTATCTCCCAGCAACAGCCCTGGGGCCACCTCCTCAGGAGCCCCAGGGTGAGTGGTGACTCAGGCTGGGGAGCTGAGAAGAACTGAGACAGGGACAGCTCTTTCACAAATCTGTTTTTCTTCCAGAGAAAAACAGGACGTAAGATAAAGGAGAAACAAAAGCAAAAAAAAAAAAAAGTGCTTGAATGTCTCTAGGTTTTCAGATCAGACAAGATCTGGGTCCAGTACCTCCTAGCGTCGAAGAAAGCCTCCCAGACTGTCCCAGGTTGACTCCAGTGAGCTCATTCTTTCCTTATCATTAAGAGAGAAGAGAATCTGGCCTTATGATTAACAAAAGGAAAATTTTATAAAACAAAATGAGGGACAAGAAATGGTCCCCCAGTTATGCCACCTGTTTCATGTTTCTCCATACAAACAGGCCTGTGCCTTTAAACAGATAATGGCTCCTAGTGGCCAAATTATTGATCTATTTGGTGTTCTGGCTTTAAGGGAAGAGTGAATTGGCCTCTTTAGAAATGTTGGCAGCCTGGCTGGTCCATTAGTAAGACTGAAAAATCAAAACATTGACTGGAAAAGGCCATGATGACTGGGCTCAGCAGGAGTCATCGATAGATGATGTCATTTCAGAAATAAGCAAGCCAAGGTCACGAGGCCCCTGGGCAGAGTCAAACTGCCCCTCATGGCCCATCGCCACCCTCTTTCACAGATACAGACGTCTCCCAAGGGGACACAAGGGCCTGAGCCAGAACTGGCTTTATTTTACCCTTTCTTTGCTCAGTTTGAATCTAGAGGAATACGATTTTAGAACCTGATTCTAGAGACTGTGACATTCAGCAGGTCATTAAGGAAGACCCTCGGTGCTCTCCTGCGATGCTCCTTTCACCCTCTTCCCCTCTCCCTGGTCTGTCTCCGCCTCTTCTCACACTCCTCATCCTGGAAATACCCGCCTCCCCTCTAGGCCCTGTCCCCAGCTCCTACAACCTTCTCTCTTCCTTCCTTTCTCCTTCAAGCTTTTGGAAGAGCTGTTGGCTCTGTCTCCAGGCTTCAGCTCCCATTAGCTTCTGCCTCTTCCTCTCGCTAACACTAGTAATATTGTCGGTACCAAGCACTGGACCAAGGGCTTTCCCTGCATCATCCCTCTTAATCCCCACAGCAACCCCCTATGAAATGGGTGCTATTATTATCCCCATCACACAGAGGAGGAAGCTGGGGCTCAGACACACAGGTTGGGTGACTGGCTTCAGTAAAGCAGTGGCAGATCCCATTCTTGAACCCTCCGCAATGCCCTGGCCGAAGTCACCCATGAATCCTGCCAATCCTGGTGGCCCTTTCCCAGTCTTCATCCCCTCTGTCTCTCTGCAGCAACTGGCACCACCAGTCTCTCTCCTCCCTTGGCTCTTGGGGACCAGTTTCCCCCACACTTTCCCTCCTTTGCACAGGGGGCCCCTGGATTTTATCCCTGGCACTTCACTTTTCTCATGATAGAAAGTCTTCCAAGGGAAACTTTGAGTCCTCGGGATTCCAGGTCCACTGGAGACCATCTTGCCCACTCCCTTATCGCTCCAGGTCACTCTAAGTGTGTGGCAGAGCTGGAGCTAGAGCCAGGTGTCTTAACCTCCAGGTCAGTCCACCTCCTATTACTCAGAGCTGCCACTATCTACTTGTTTTCTGCTGAGCAGCAGGAAGCAGCCCAGCCCTGGAGGGAGGGAGAAGGTGGGAGACCCTGATAAGGTGGGGTGGAGGCTATTTTTAGAGGACACTGGCTTTCCACTTAGGCTGGGAGGAACTCAAGGGCCAAGATCTTCTAAAATGTGGGTTTGCAAGACTAGCTCATTAAATACAATGAACACACTGAAGTGACAGTGCTCCTTGCTTTCACGCTCTGCCTGTTTGTTGTGTGGCTGGAATTGATAAGACCCTTACTATTTGTCTCCATTTCCTCTTAGTTCAATCTGAGAGGCTTTAGAAAAAAATATATGATAGAAAGTAAAGTAGAAACAAAAATGAAACATCAGGAAGAGGGCGCTATTGTCTGAGCAAAGGAAAGTTCTGGACAGCAGCAGACCAAAGAAAAGGGGCTGTTGATGGGGTGCTCACGGATCCCCATGATCTGCCTGAGCCCAGGACGTGCCAGGAAAGAGATGAGAAAGGCTAGTGGAGACTCAGCCTGGTGTGTCCAGCAGCATGTGACCCTGAGCAGGGGTCTCTGCAGATTTTTGCAGGGAACAAAATGGCTGTCGCTGCTGAGTGAAAGATGGGGATTTTTGAGGTGTTCCCGCTGAGGGTCCAGAACCTGGATTAGGGTCTGGTTCTGTGATTTGGACAGGGAGAAGCTTAGACTAGGCCATCTCCGAAAGTCTGAGAGGGCAATAGTTAAGGCCAGAGAGGTGGCGATGGGGCTGTGTCTGCCTGCAGGGCTCCGAGGCAGCATCATAAGCACCATATAGATGGGGAAACTGAGGCCAGGGAGCGGTTGGACTGGAGCCTCTAGCCCTGCCCCGTTCATTGGGTCTAAAGCTGTTTGACTCACAAGCTTCTTTGCGAAGGTGATGGCTGCCACTCAGCAGAGGTGCCCGTAATTACCGCGGGGCGCGCTTCCTGGGCGGTGCACGGCCCGGCTATTCCGAGGGTCCTAACAGGTCTTAGAATAAGGCCCGAGTCAGAGGGACCGCCAAAGTTTCCGGTTTCCACAACCCCTCCGGATATGCGCGGCTGTGCCCACAGCGTC